TTAATTTTGTATTTATTTTACGTCCAACAATATCGGAGCTGGTGGCCAACATTCGTTGGCAAGAGTGATTCTTCGTTAAATCTCTATGCTGACGTCATTTTTGGTATTTAAGCTCGTTCCAAAATAAATAAAGTCTTTCACAACTTCGAACTTATAATTGTCAAAAGTGATGTTAACTTGTTTTTCTAAGTTGGAAAATGCCGCACTGACGGCGTGGGTGATGTTGCTAAACGTCATTTTACATACCTATCTGTATAAATTTTGCTGAGATACCAAATTCAGACATAGAGGCATAGAAAATTATTCTAGTAGTAGTATCAGAAGCAGCTTTGAAACCGATAAATAGGTGGTGTGTGATTTGTTTCTCTTTGTTCTTTGGTCTAGGGCAAATTTGTCAGTTCTGAAGCCACACTGATAAGGTCCAATCAGTTGGTTGACGATTGGTTTCAATCTTTCATATAGAACCTTAGCTCAGTTAGTAAACCATCGGCGCTTGCAGCTTTGTTGTTTTTGAACCGCATTATGGCTGTTTTAACTTCATTATGACCGGAAGACGGGACGATTATTTCATCGTTAACGATTGAAGTTCGCGCCGCAATTGACCGCAGGATACGCATAAAGTTGGAGAAGTGGTTCCATTGCGCGCATATATCGGGTTCTTCAGGCCTCTAATGTGTACTGTCTAATTTTTTAATTTTCTTTTGTTTAAAGCATGCAATTTTCGAGAGTAATGAAATTTATATTAAAAGTAATAAAGTAGTCCAAATTAATTAAACAGATTTTATATAATAGATAGCAACAACTATCAATAGCATAAATAAAGATTCAAATTCAAATTCAAATGCACATTATACAAATTCACAAATTCACTGCACATTACATATACAGATACCAAACCGCATCGATATTATTCATTCATTTATTAAAGCTCGATACAGACTTTAGTTGTACTTTTATTTTAAGTAAAATTTATATTGATGTGTGAATCAGTTGTTTTAGTTTGAATTTAAATTTTTGTATTATTTATTTGCACGACACTGGTATTCTCATCAGACTTTACACAAAGCTGTTCTATGAAAATCTGTGTAAAGAGCGTAATTTGGCATTTTATTTGTGTTACGCTCTCAGTTTTTACTTGTGTTTTACTTGAGTGTTACTACGAGTACCTCCTGCAACAGACCTAATAATGAAATGCTTTTGCGCAAATGTTCAGATTACGCAAAATAAATGTCATGTTTGTTATTTCATGTCATGACGTGGAATTGTTTTGTCTAACAGAACATCTAGCAGTAAATTGTCTACATAATAATTTATTTCAACAATTAATTCCATTCGTAATTGCATAATTAATAATTTTGTTGAAATGGTCACAGTAATATAACATATTTTGTGCTTTTAACTAAAAACAATAATCATTTTGAATTACACAATAAATACACAATGTTATTCATTTATAATTTTTATCGATATATTGTGTAGGGTTAGCGTTGATGATCAGATTGCAGACTCAACATATTGTTAGATATCAAAGTCCAACCGAAACGAAAGGATCATAAATAGATTTTTTAATTTAATTTGTATACAATGATTTCTCAAAGTATTCGTCAAGGATTAGTTAAAACAAACATCAGTCAGGGATTTTTAATATGTCAATATAATGGTTAGCTTTATTGTATTATAAAAAAACTGAAACTGAATATTGTGATGAGAATATATGCTTTTTTCACATAATGCATATTTTATATAAAAATAATAATAAAACTGATAATAAATTTCGAATGTTGCTTGTTGCAAGAAGTGCAAGGAACTAAGGCAAAAAGTTTGCGCAATTATCATCTCAATAATTCAATTAACCTGAAGTGTTTAATGCAATAACCAATAAAAACAAAATTATAATTTATGTTAATATAAATTTTGGTTGATATAACAACTATATAAAAAATATATTGTTAAAGTTATGAATGGACTTTGGTCATTGAGTTATATATTCAAATAAACCAATGTATTTGTTTGTTGCATACACGTGAACGAAACGTTTTAGTTGAGTTGATTTGGGTGAAAATACTCACATTTGGTTAAAAATAAAAAATTTATAAAACCAATTCAATATTTTATAACTTATTTTAAGAAAATGAAAATGTTTTTATCTTGTTTAATAAAAATCTTGCACATATAATAGTCACTATACATACATATTTTCATTCCAGCAGGATTGAGATATTATTCTAATGCATCATCACGAAAAAACTTTAAAACGACTATACCTAAAAACATCGTTCTTGTGGATGGTGTAAGAACTCCGTTCTTGGTTTCAGGTACAAGTTATGCGAAACTGATGCCTTATGAATTGGCCAGGCACTCCATGTTGTAAGTACTTAATTTCTATTATGAGTTGAACAGGTATTCAAAAAGTAAATATAAAAATATTTTTTTATACACAGGAATTTGTTACGAAAAACTAACATAGATAAGGAATTGATAGAATATATTGTTTATGGATCGGTAATACAGGAAGTGAAAACTTCCAACGTAGCGCGAGAAGCATCACTCGCTGCAGGCTTTAGCCAGAAAACTCCAGCCCACACAGTGACAATGGCATGCATAAGTTCGAACGCGGTAATTTAATATAGATTTAATATGCAAATTAAAAAATTATTGCAAAAGTATATAAAGTTCTTATTACTTTTGTGAGAAATAAAATAAAATCTTAAACCAGTTTGCAACACTTGCTGGATACTTAAATATCGAATGCATACAAAACTTTGGATTTAGGAAAAAATTTTACATGACTATCAATTAATAAATTTTATTTATTTAGGCAATCACAACCGCTATGGGACTGATATCAGCTAATGCTCATGATGCCATATTAGCAGGTGGAGTGGAATTTATGTCAGATGTTCCTATTCGACATTCTCGGCAAATGCGGGCGTTAATGCTACAAGCAAATAAAGCGAAAACGTTAGGACAGAAATTAGGCCTACTTTCCAAAATAAGATTAAGTCACTTTATACCAGAAGTAAGTAATAGGAGGAGGAAAAGTAAAAAGTATTTTTGTTTAACCATTTTATTATAGTTGCCAGCGGTAAGTGAATTTTCTTCTGGGGAAACGATGGGTCATTCAGCAGACCGTTTGGCTGCTTCTTTTAAAGTCACACGTGAAGAACAAGATGAGTATGCACTTCGATCTCACTCGTTAGCAAAAAAGGCTGAGGAAAGTGGCTATTTCACAGACTTAATACCATTTCAAGGTAAAAAGTAATATGAAGTTTATAATTGATATAATTTATGTATTGTTTTAGTAAATGGAATTAATAAAATTGTTGATAAAGATAATGGCATAAGAGTTTCAACACCTGAAAGTCTTAAAAAACTTAAGCCAGCTTTTGTTAAGCCATATGGCACAATCACTGCAGCCAACGCCTCATATTTGGTGATTAAAAATTTTTTTTATATGTTGAACAGTTAATGACAATTTTTCTTTTTAGACGGACGGAGCATCGGCATGTCTTGTAATGAGCGAAGAGAAAGCTAAACAATTAAAATTAAAACCTAAAGCTTACTTACGTGATTTTGTGTATGTCTCGCAGGATCCAATTGATCAACTCCTATTAGGTCCGGCTTATGGAATTCCCAAATTACTAAATAAGACTGGCTTATCACTTAAAGACATTGATTCTTGGGAAATACATGAAGCATTTGCGGGTCAAATTCTTGCTAATATCAAAGCCTTAGAATCAGATTGGTTTTGTAAGAATTATATTGGCTTACCTGAAAAATTTGGAAGTCCTGATTTAAGCAAATGGAATAATTGGGGAGGTTCACTATCAATTGGTCACCCATTTGCTGCAACTGGAGTTCGTCTTTGTATGCATACTGCTAACCGTTTAGTGCGTGAGGACGGCAGTTTAGGTGTGGTTGCAGCTTGTGCAGCCGGTGGACAGGGTGTGGCAATGCTACTAGAACGACATCCGGACGCAACAGCTAACTGATATTTTGAGTTATATGTGTATATTTAGCTACTGAAAAAATTGAAACATTGAACTAAGTTAATCTGCATTTTCTTATTTTTTAATAGAAATTTTAAAATATTTGTGATTAAAAGCAAATTAAATACATCCATAATTGTTTATATCAAAATTTTGTTATTCATACTATTTCATTTGTATTATTTGAATATTGGCATACTGAAACATATATAAATAATGTTCAAATCTTTTGTACGTCCATTAGTACATAACATATGATATATTTATTACTACGAACTTAAGTTCATACTTAAAATATATTTATTATACAGTTTAAAATATAACAAACATTTTCTTGTTCGATGGAAAATTACATATATCATGTAATCTTAGTAGCGTAGAGTGTAGGATAAAATACTGTTCAGCTCCGGCAATTTTGTCATCTATAAAGATTTCAATGAAAACATAACCTTTTGACATTGCTATTCTACCCATGGGGTCACATATTAGAGGCTAGTCTTTTTTACCGCAGTATAATTAAAGATAATAGTCATAATTTTGTAATGTAAATGAAAATTTTATTTATTTAATAAATAATCGACTCTCTTTTTCAATTTTACTGATAGTGACATCATGTTAATTCAGCCCTGTGTCTTTCACTCAAGTTTCTAAGACAATCAATTAAAAAAAAAACTAGGGAATGATAGGTCATTGCCACTTAAAATACAACAAGTAATAGTATCTGCATTAAACAATATTAGTTTAGGCCAAAATGATAAATAAATTAATGCTATTTGTTTTTATTAATGCATTACAATGTTGAAATATAGGCCTCTCTCTATCGCTCACCTTCTTGCAGAATATCTGGTTCTGAATAATTCCTACAGACAAAATGTCTTTGTTTATTTCTATTTCGTCGACATCCAATTCAATGCTACGCTTTGTTAGTATATCATGCAGTATAAAAAATGTATATACAATGTTTCCTACTCTTTCGTGGCTATAGTTGAGGACACAACTATTTTTATTTTGTTTTGTCAAACACTTAAACCTGACTTTAAGTACACCAAAAGCTCTTTTAACGATATGGCATTAATGCTTTTGCAACATGTTATATTTTTCCCCTTTTTGTGTTCTTCGTTTTGAAAGCGCTGTAAATAACCAAGGCTCGAGTGGATAGCCTTGATCACCAACCATCATGCATTCGTACTCAGTTCTCTATGGCGTAATAGTGTTGCCCGTACTGGGGATGTTTTCCAAATGACCAGATCATCATACGAGTGTGAGAATCTTGCGTTGAAAAATGTAAATTTCCACCTTTTTGCTCTATTAACAGCTTGGATATACTCGCAATTGTGCATGAAACTAATACCTAACTCATAGACACCGCAAATATGTTGCCAACACATTATTGATGCGAGCCATGACTATAAAAATATAAGGTAACTAAAAACCTACATTTAAATGCGATCACTGATTTTCGATTGTCATACGGTTCCAGTTCAGCAATTCACTCTTTACGTATGTTTTTCGGTAACCTAAACATTTTTCTGAAAAGTTTCTCATTCAGTTCAAATCATTCTTTTATTAATTTTCGCTTTGTGATGAATGCCAGTGTTTTTTCTTTTTTTTTTCATGAAATAGTATATAAACATTATTTCAATTTTTATAATTGAATAAATTTTTAAAATTTGTAAAAATTGAAACTATTATATTTATCGATGCAATGAAATACGATCTGCTCATATGATTTGCAGTTTTAATTGTCATACAATAGTTACAATCACTAACGATGAAAATACCAAAACACATCAAAACTGAGCCAGAATTTGTGAATATTGACAGAATATTACTGTTAGAAAAGTTCCCAGAAGTATTTAAAGGACTTAAGCACTTTTACTCTCTACTAACTGCGAGGTTTTTTCATAACCCCACTCTACGCCTTTACTGGATTATTGTTTATCACTTCATCAGACTAAGCAATAACTGACCTCAAATCTACATACCTCCCAGAGGAACCTGTAACCTATTTGAGATTCGATAACGCGGTGTTTGTAAGCGTGACAGTTTTCGTAAATAGTTTCAGGGCTCTATCCTTTATGTATTTTTTGATCATATCAATCTCGAGGTCCCTGAAGATGTCAGTCATCATAATGTATTATGTTAATATAAGTTCCTTGCCAATTTATATGTGAGTTTGAAATGAACTCTAAATCGGAGAACAGAATTCATTATTTAAGCAGTTAACAATACTCTTTAAATTGGTATAGACAATTTTGTAATTGAAACAAATAATACAAATAGCTTTGTATTTCTTTGTCAAACGTTCTTATAAATAATTTTTAAAAATCAATGTATTCAATCGTTTATACAATTTTTACCATTAACATTGCATTGCTGACATTTATAAGTAGAATATAAAATTTTCATTTACAAGACATATGATTTAATATTGATTTGTTGTCGAGAGAACACCCTGTTTCAACGTTTCAACGTTTATTGTTGCTGGGTTTTTGTTGTTGCAATTTTGTGCAGTTATAGCGCAAGTGAATCTATGTACACACATATAGAGTTCCAAAAATAAGTTAATCATATAAATGGAGGAACAACGAATTGATAAAATTTATGGAGGATGTGAAGGACCAGATGCTCTTTATGTGAAGCTTATATCCTCAGACGGTCAAGAATTTATTGTTAAAAGAGAACATGCACTAACCTCGGGTACAATAAAAGCGATGTTGTCGGGACCTGGACAGTTTGCCGAAAATGAAGCAAATGAAGTGCATTTCAGGGAAATACCGTAAGTTTTATTATTAAAATTAATATATTATGTATTATTGTATACAAATATTAGTAAGATTTTTCATAGGCAAGGTATAATAATAATTGTCTTAAATGTCAAACTCGTGCCTCATCGAATAGTACGACACCGACACATGCAAATGTTTAAATTGATTTATATTTGATAAAATAAATTGTATTAAATTTTTTTTTAAACTGAAGAAATTATATATATTGCTGATACATATTATATATATATATTAATTTTAATGACTACGTAGTAATTGTTCAAAGTCCATTAACATATTGTTATTATGAATATTATGATTTTCTATTAATTTATTTGTCCAACTTATATTTACTATAACTAAATTTATATAATTACAGATCGCATGTTTTGCAAAAAGTATGCATGTATTTTACGTATAAGGTCCGCTACACGAACAGTTCTACCGAAATTCCAGAGTTTCCAATAGCACCAGAAATAGCTCTGGAACTATTAATGGCCGCAAATTTCTTAGATTGCTAAAAAAGTAAGATGTATAAAAAAATAATATTGTCATGTATCTAACTAAATTCAATAAATTTTAACAAAGATCCATTATAGTGCCGAAAAATTGTTACGATTTTTATGTGTTGACATGGTTTTTGTATAACTATTTATATATTTTCATTGTATTTGTTTTTTTGTGCTTAAATTTGAAGTTTTTTTAAATGATATTATTTACTATAAGAACCACAGGTAAGCGCACGTGCGGGATAGTACGTCTGGTCAATTATAGGTTTCGCTGTACCTACCAGATCTGACTTTTGGCTAAGCACCCATCGTGTAGAGACTACAATACGAACTGATTCCAGATTTCATCAAATTAACTATGGACATAAGAATAACTCAAAATAAGTGTCCAAATAATAACTATCTTGTAAAAAACAAGATAGTTTCTATACACAATTCCTATAATCAGCACATTAGATTTGATACATACATCAATTTCTGCATAAGTAATTCCAAATTAAATAATTAAAACCAACATTAATCTTTAACAAGTTATCAATTAAACTTTAATCGAAATCTAAAGTCTAAAACAGGCATTGAAATAAAAAAAAGTATTTATAGACATATTACGTATGAGTGAGTCTAAAGGCAACGGTACTGGCGAAATGACTCGAAACGTTGGAACTAAGTTTTTCTACTTCAGCATAAGTGAAAATGAAATATGATAGGAATGAAAACCCTTTAATAAGCGAAATGTATTTACTGGCTTAAAAATAAGTGTTTCTATTGTAATCATTATTCAAATTTTAGCAGCTAGTAGATTTACTCCTCATAGAAAATAGTACTTTCTTATGTTATTGATGCAACTACTGCATAGCAATAATGGACACTAATATCAATATATTGCATGTAGTTGGTGGAAGAGATAGACACTTGTTACCACTTTCCAGATTTATTTAAATTAGTTTAAACGCAAATGATCGAATAAACTATGCGTATTGTCTTATGCATTTTATATTGATATTAATGATGTCTGACAGATGGCAACGAATTCATGGTATACGAGGAAGGTTTCATCACCCTCTAATTTTTTAGCTAGTTTATTAACATAAAGTCAGACGAGTGTTTATTCATATTAGCAGATTTTGAAATAATATTTGTACAATTTCGTATCTACTTAAATATAAGAATTTAAATCATTATGATTTTATTTTTTTAGTTTCTAAAAATGAAGACTGTATTTCAATTCGCTAGGATTATATTGCCCAAACTTACTTTATTATAAAAAGTTGTTTCCAAATAAAGCTGTTATAAAAGTATATCGTCTAAAAAAAATATAAATTTCTTACAATAAAAAGAATAGAGTTTAAAATATTGTGGTGGTGGCACCGCAACAGTTTTGAAAACAGTAATGACCGATATCGGTCACCATTTTCGTTGTTGGTTAACCAGAAAGACTTACCAAAGATTAATTAGAAGCCTTTTTCCGGTAAATGGAGAGCATCGAAAGGCACATTGTGAATCCACAAAATCACCTCTTAAAAATTCAAAATGGAAAGATTTCAGCCTTGGACTGTAATCAAGAATAGCAGGTATATCAATTAATAGCAATTAAGAAGAGAAGAAACAAAGGTTTATTCTAAAAGAATTTATTTTAGAAAAATATTTTTTTTACACAAGAGACACTTGCATACTGAGATTTTGATATTTACGAAATTTTGCGATTTTGATTATACTATTCAGTCACAGAAATTATGTTTAGAGATCATTTTTTGTAATAAAAAAAAAATAAAAACTACAAAAACAATTTTATTAAAAGTAATATACCAAGTGTGCTTACTTTAATATCGTTATACTAGAATACTTTAGTTGATCCAGATAAAGTAGATGATCTTATATCAAAATATAATCTAGAAGGTAACTTACAAAACTTTTCGATTTTCAATCTTAAAGCCCCTCTAATTCATTTTCTGATTATAGGCCAGTGCAAATATATACATATTGTGTTAATGAAGATGTTCTCATTGAATTGTAGTAGTAGTAGTAGTATTAGCTTTATTTTTACTTCATTTTAAATTTGTTGTATTACATAGAAATTACAGCTATGGCAAATGTAGTATTAATATAATTATCTTTAATCTTCAAGTTTTATATATTTTACTGTGATACAAACTGCATATATTGGTTATAGAATTATGCTGGGAAGCACTTTTGTAATTAACTCTGCAACCTTTACATTTTTTAAAATTTGAAAATTAAGTGTTACTGATATCCATAAATCTAGATACAATTTACTTGTTCTAAATGGGTGTTTTTCCATAGTTCTAGTATAGAAATCAAGTTATAAAAAGGCATTAGAACGCAAAAATAAATGTTACCATTTTAATACATTTGGATAGACAAATCCAAACTTCTAAATTTTGGACCATTGAATCAAAATTGGCACAATATGATAAAATTCTCATAACTGAATAGGAATAAAGTAACAATCATAAAGTGACAATCTAAATAACTGAACATAGGTGATTTGATATTAACGTAAAATTGATCTACTTACAAATGAAGGTTTTTACTCCCTTGATATGACTCTAGTATTTCAGAGGGATATGCACTTATTACACTTTATGTGTCAGTACTTAAAAACATTAAATAATAATAATTAAAATTTGGCTGGCCATACAACGCTGTTTCGAGTATTGCCAAGTACTCATCATCAGTAGTCTTAAAAAATATTCGAATTTCTTAATTAGTTTATAATTATTTCTTAATTAGTTTATATTATATATATTTTCTAACACCACTGATGATGTGTATTTGACAATAATCGAAACAGTGTTATATGGTTAGCAGAATTTCAATAAATTAAATAAATTTTTGTCCTTATATTTTCTTTGCTATTCGAATCAGACTAACTTTTAAACAGTTTCTTTTCGTCATAAAGACGCGTCACTCTTGGCAAGAAAATATTACCATTAAGAATATGTAATTATAATTGTAGTACACTATAACGATGTTAAACTATTCATCGCTTGTTAAAATCCATTTTTCCATTCATTGTGCTGAGTATGAAATAAAATTCATTTCAAAATGTGTTTAAAAAAGTGAAAGCTTTATTTAACTACTATAAATAACATACGTAAACTATATAATTAAGAAACTGACAGAGTTTTTAATATGTACAATTTTAACATATCAAATATATTTGATCCAAAAGTATAGTTTATTTACTGAATCATTTATAGTAAATAACACTTTTTTCTCCAATAACTGCAGCAACAATAATTACAATAATGATGGTAACAACGATATTTGTAATGTAAATATTTATGAGAACTGCTGCAATGGTGTATCGAAGGATACAAAGAGCATGTATCATGCAAACAATAGTAGTAGTCACACATTCTAAACTGAAACGAAAATAAAGTTAAATAAGTTTAATTAGATAACATACTTAATTATTTATATTATATATTAAACTTCAAATTATTTTTTAAACAAATTGATATAATTTAAAACAAACTGCCAAACCCAATTTTATATATATAATCCTACCTTTGATGTATAATATATATGATTAAGGTTTATTATTCATTCTATCAATAGCCTTATTTTTATACATAATAATAAAAAAAAATAACTTATTAATAATTTTCATCAAACTTATTTTATTAAATTCTTTATTTATTTGATTATTAATTTTTGAATAATTTAAGTAAAGTACACTATATTCAAAAGAAATAAAGAGTTAAAAAAAATAAATGTTCATTATTGAAATACGAACTTATTGTAAATATAAAAAAAATTTATATTCTAACTTCTATTTTCATATAATATATATAGCAATTAAAATATACCTCTTCCTATAGTACTACTACGTATGTGTTCTCTTCCACTCTTGAGTTAAAAATCGACTGAATCAGTAAATCAGTATAAGAAAACATTTTTGAGAATCATTTATAAGTTATTGATAAATCAGTTATATAGCGTTGCTTAGCAAAATTTAACCTTGAAATTAAATAGAGAAAAATTGTTCAAAGCTGTGTGTATGTATTGCTTAAGGCATTGTTATGACCTATATAATCTAATAAAACTTACAACTTTTATATTTAGAATATTTTGTATAATGGAGTATTTTTTATTTTAGCTATGAAGTTTTTTCTATAATCACCATATTATTCGTATTTAATTTTTACTACTTAATTAATTTTATGGTGATCCTAAGAATCCCCTTAAGCTTTTTCGCTCCTTGTGTTGTCGTATAAATTTTGAATGATTTAAAACTAGAATAAAGCGTAAAATGGTCTCAAGAGATATAATAAACACATCGATCTCAATTAACGATGATTGCATATATTAATTGAAGTGTTCGTATTATAACCAAAGTCGATCCTCAAAGACTTCATGTCTGAAGAGACATAGCAAAAACGACTACCTTACGTCGCACAGTGTGTCAAAACAGAAATTAGCCGAATAAAGTTCAATTTTTTCTGAACCTGTGAAGATATTGACCTGAAATTTTCCTAAAAATTTAATTTTGAAATAGACTTTCTTTTGAATTATAGAAAGAAAGGTTTGGTAGGCCTTATCAGGCTACTGGAACTCATCCAATTTTGGGTGAAAAATGGGACTCTTTCACATTTTCTTAGTTCCCTCAAAAACTATGACAGGTGTAGAAAGTTAAATTTTGGTGCCCAAAAAAACTACGTTATAATATATATGCCTCAAAACTTTTTCATAATATTTTATCACTTTACGTTTTCTCGAGTTACCGAGAAACGCCTGTATATCCCTATTATATAATATATATAATTTTGGGAAAATTAATTTCATTTTCAGTTCAAATTTTATCTTAATTTTATTTGCAATATTTTAAACATTTTATACCAAAAATTTTAAATAGTTCTTTTTAAATGGTCAGTATATATCATAAATCAAGCCGTGTATCAAGCTTGTCTATACACGATATCAATTGAAGAATTATTTTATTTCTAAGAAACAATAAATAAAAATTTTCCATCAAAGTAAATTTTGAGTAACCAATTTAAAAACATTGTTACCAAAGGTCTTCAGAAATCAGTTAAACTGTTTCTGGTGCAATATATTATACATTAAATATGACTTAGTCCCTCTATATGGTTAGTCTCTATAAGGGGACTACAAGCTGTGATTGCAGTCACAGTCACTAATTGTTGTTGCTTTCAATGCAAAAAGAAAATTTGACAGTTACAGGCCAATTCATTTTACATTAAAAGCCCCTCAGCAAACAACGTGTTTATACGTATGCTATAGCTATAGCATATGGCTATAGAGGACGTCAGTCAAAAATTCCTGAGTTATTCAGTTTGTTTTTGTTGTTTTCGTGCTGTATGGACAGCTGTTAACGGTAAACGTATGCAGTTGATTGATGATATACATACAATATACATATGTATATAATCAATCACTTAGTTGCTATTTCTGTGCATGCATACAAATATTTTTTACAAACATATCTTAATTATTTCTTCGTTTAAATTGTCTCTATTGGAATTATATTAGTATACATCAATGATAAAATAATAGGACCATTCGCTCCAAACTTAGTAACATAGTAATTGGTAAAGGTTTATGCATGGTTTGTTTTTTGATTCTATACCGTAATTGATTTAACTAATAACAAGTTAATGAAAAATCATGTCTGATAATATTATTCGTTATTCGAAAAAATATTTGCTCATTCTTTCAAACATAAATTTGTGCGGCAAACAAACAAATATAAAGATTAAACGTGCACTTTTAATTTAACGAAAAATAATTAGAAAAGTGTATTAGACTTATAGTATATTCAAGCTGCATCATATTTTGAAGAAAAAAAACCTTTAAATATAATAAATGCAACTCAATTGTTGCTGAAAGTGATTATAATATTAGATTTATGGCAATTAAAACGAATGGTTGCATAAAGTTGCTTTCAGGGTCAATTTAATAATATCAACTAGTTTTAAATAAAAATTGAAGTGTCACTTAAGTTAAGGGGTTTTTGAGTTTTTTCCAACACTTAAGTTTTATAGTTTCTACAACAAAAAAACTTAAGTGCAGATCAAAATTAAAAAAATATGGCAATATTGAATAAAATCAGATGTTTGTAGCAGCTTCAATCGGAAATAATTTTAAACTGTTTTAAAAAAATGGAGGGGAAGCGATGCAGTAATTTCTCAGCTGAAGAAATTGATAACTTAATTGAAATAATTAACAAATATAAATATATAATAGAAAATAAAAAAACAGATCATGTGTCCTCTAAAAAAAAGGAGGACACATGGACGAAAATAACTAACGAATTCAACTTCCAAGCAAAGATTTCTAGGAATAAGGCATCCTTACGAAAAAAATATGAAAATTTAAAACGGAATTTAAAAGTGCGTACGTCTATAGAGAAGCAAAAAATGTGCAAAACTGCCAGCGGGTCTTCCACAAAAGTGGAAAATGGAAGATTACTGTCCGCTGTTACTCCAAATGAAATAAATGAGTTGAACAGTTTTTACGATAACGACTGCAGCGGTGAAGGTGAGTTGATTTAACATACTTGTAATACATTAAAAAAGATATTAACAATGTTTTTAATGACTTGCTTTTGCAGATCTAAGAACAAAGTGGGCTGAAAAAAAGCATAACCTGGAAATAGAAATGATGACTGCTGAGCACAACAATCGAATGAAAAAACATGCATTAGAAATACAAATAATGGAAACTGAAAGAAAAGACAGGAAAAAGATCAATCAATTAAAAATGGAAAAACTCCAGCTTGAAATTGACGCATTAAGAAGCAAGGAAGTTATAAAATAATTGTTCAAGAAAAATTATAATTTTAAATTTAGTTACATTAATAGTTTTGTGCATTATTTTGTTTTATCTTTTTAATATTTTTTATATTATTATATGGTATTACATTTAATTAAAAACATAAAGATTAAATTTTTTCTTAATTTCACCTGTAACTCAACAAATAACATAAACACCATCCAATCGCTTTATTCACCGTTGAACGTTTTTGCTCAGGAGAATGGCGTATTCTTCTTATTTGACACTATAGTCCAGTGTGAACCTTGGCCTTTCTAAATGGCGCATTAGTTTTTTTTATAGATACTGGCGGCAAGAACCACAAAAAACTCAAATTTTCTTCATCAATATCAAACTTACACAAACCGCTTTCGTATGATTGTTAAATTACACTTAAGTTCCTGTCATGGAACACTTAAGATCCACTTAACGCTCAACTAAATGCAAAAATAACAAAATCGTAAATGTCACTTTAATGTTAAACCTATACTTAAGTGTACCCAAAAATTCCTACCATTGTTTACGGCACCATTTGGATGTGACTGATAAACAAGGATGAATTATTTAGGAAATAACTCTGGTTAGGCCTTTTCATAAAATTGTTTTAGACCCGCATGTAGTTGGTGTATGCACGACAATGTGTAGCTTAAGTCGGAATAAAGTGCTATTTTATTTTCTATATGTTAATCACCATTTCTTTATCCGTGCTGTTTGCACAGCCTGCGATTACTTTCAGCATATTATTAGTGTTCATCAAATGCAATGCAGTAGCACGTAGAGAGAAAATCTGTATACTGTAAAAATTGTTAACCAGAATATTAAGTTGAGGGTTTTTAGTTCACTATTGGGAATGAGTACAGTAAAAGTTATCCCTTTTTGATTTAGAAAAGCAAGAAGGTAGCTGAACAAAATATATTTATCGCCTTTACTCGTTGAGGAATCAAGTATTGGAACATGTAGAAGTACAGATCCATCGTTTTACCAAATCAGCAATTAAGGGTTTTGTTTCAGATCGTTAGAAATTTGGGTTGTATTTTTGTAGAGGACTAAGGTTTTATATAACTATGTTAGTGGAAGGTATAATCATAAATGGCTATAATTGCGTGAATTCCAAAGTCACCAAAAATTATATCACTCCTGCGCTGGCCCTTTCGGTATTAATAGATAAACTGTTCTTTACCTTTTCATATACAAACAAAATGAAAAATTTTAAATTTGTATTAAGGCTAAGATGCAAAAACTTCAGGACCTTAAGAATGAGTAAATGACATCGAATAGTGTTTTCGATCTTTATTGTTTGAAATATAATTGGGTGGGAACTATTTGTAAAGAAGACCGTATTTGTTTTGGGTGCGAAGAATAATGGGTGGAATTATTTGCTAGAGTTAGCAGCAATTGCTAATGAAACTTGAATGGCATTTACGATGTAGTGCTAATCTACAAATCGATAAAAAATAACTTCAGTCGTTGCAATTATCGGTACGGGCAAATGTGGCGTCTTCGTGATGGTACTGCTTTATATGTGTGTAAAGGATTGTGGTCGTGATTTATAAATTGTCATGTAATATACTTTGCATTTAATGTATATTCATTTAATGTATAACTATTCAGAATATTTTTATACGTTTTTCGGCAAATTAGCTTTTGACTTCGTCAGGAGTATTCCTACTATTATGTGTAAAATTCAGTATGAAATTTATGATAAGTACTGCATAATTGATTTGCTAAATAGCGGAGCCACATACAATATCCCTATACCTAATATTTTTCTTGAAGTTTTTTTCGAATTTACACTGTACTCAATTAAAACTATTTTATTTTATACTATTATAGTACTTAAAAATATTATTTATTTTAAAATTATTTCTTAAATTACTGAAATTAAATGAAATTACATAAATGCAATCGTTTGTGTGTACACATTGTATATATATTACGTTATCCTTATTTTTATTATTTATTCTAATTCACTTAAACAAACTTATTAAAAAAATTATAATAACAAAAGTTAGTATTTACTATATTATACCATTATTTTATATATTTTAGTTTATTTTTTATAATTCACACATTTTCTAATAATTTCCTTAACTAAAGGAACAAAAATAAAATCATATACGTAGATTTAAAATTAGTTCAATATTTAAATAATATGTATATAACAATTTTATATTGTTTTAAAAACAAAAAATCACACTAATAATATAATTTTCACTACAGATATTGGAATGAGAGGCGCAGATTATAGAGACAAGGTATATTAAAAAAAATTTACGGTTGTGTGGTATGGTACAAAATGTTATATGTAAATCTGATATGTGTACTAGGCATTAAGTTATAAAACAATTGACTAGCCTCAGTTAAGTTCGTTTAATATTTAAAAATACTATGAAAAAATTTTATATGCGTTGAGATTTTTAATATTTTCAATTGCCTTTTCTAATTATTGAGTGGTCATTTTTGCAAAGAATAATTTTTATTTGTGCATAAAGTAAAATTCATATTTCGATTTTAAAAATGATTAACTTGATTATATAAAATAAAACTTATGCTAACTTAAAAAAATAAGATGTTGATGCAAAAGTAATAAAGAAAAGAATGCTAAAAATTAGTTTAATATAGGGTAGGAATATTTGTGATGTAGCGAAAAATTAATGGAAGTAAATAAAAACAAAATAATAAAATAAGATAAATTTTTTTAATATAAAAATTAATTCATTGTTCTTCAGTTATGAGAAACTGTTCTGTTAACAGACAATATTTTAAAATCGGTAAATGCATTAACAGAACTTAAGTTTATCAACCGATTTATTTTAAAAGTGAGTAATTATATTTAATTCACACACTTTTGTTAATTATATTTGTTAATAGGCCTTCTTTGAAAATAGTAAAATAAAAAAACTATTTAAATGTTTTTTATTTTTATTATATAAACAATTTGATGACGTTTCAAGGATTATTTAATATATGTTTTAAACACGTATTTTATATATAATTCAAATAAAAATAGTTTTTTTATTTTACAATATTTAAATAATTAATAATAAAAATTATAAATAATAATTTGAGTAATTTTCATTGAAGTAGGCCATCTCTAAACAGTTTCTGTAATTAAAAATACTTTAGTAAATAATGATATGGATTTCATTTAAACAATGTAATCAATGGATTTTATCTGAAATTTATTATAAAAACTAATTAAATATATAAAAAATATGTTTCAGTGAATAACTCAAAAATAATACTAATGATGCCATTGGTCAGGAGATCCAAACTGGGAGTATGTGGAAGGATACATTGCACTTCGTTGAATATTTGTAGGAGCTGATGGTACAAGTGATGGCCAATGATGCGGATGATAAGGATTTGCAGTGTTACTACCATATGTATTTGTATGAAAGTTTGGTTGATATTGCGCATTATTATAAGGATTATATGAATTATCAACAAATTGTGTAGAATAATCGCATGGTGCTTGTGCATTATTATTTTCGTACATATTTTCATAATACTGATGATAATTTATATTTTGATTGGCATGGTACATATTATTTGTTGTATGACTCTCCATATTATACGGTTGTGATGCGATTGGCTGCGGAACTGTGGAATTATTGTACTGATTATAAGGCGGCACATAAGTTTCCAATTTTTGGTTCTGATGCGACTCTTCTTGATTCATTGGATATTGTGCAATTTGATTCATATTCATGTTTTCAGTTGTACTCTGTTGCTGAATTGTTGATTTTTTACCAGTATATTCCGTACTATAATTCTGAGATTCCTCTACTGTTTTTCCTAAATTGGCATTAGCATTGGCACCCATAGAATTTTGGGTAATATTTGTGGAATTTGTTTGATTAGCTATAAAAAAATAAGAATATATATTTTCATTAATTATTTTTATTAACTCACAAAACAGCTGTAGTCCTCTCAACTTTATTTAAATATAAAAACGAAATAAATTATAAGTCTTATTTTTATTTATTAAATGTAATTAGTAAATAATTTTTAATGAAATATTTATATAATACTAATAAATATCCTTCCGGACGAACAATACGGGTTTAGGGACGATCTCTCCACGGAACTACAACCAGTCAGAACAGCGCAATTGATACAAACCGGAATGATAATATTCGACATAGCCCAAGCTTTTGACAAAGTCTGGCATGATGGCCTTGTAGTCAAAATGGCCCATTTTGAGGTCCCCAGCGGGCTGATTAAAATCATCGATAGCTTCTTGTAAGAAAGGTCCTTCGGAACTAAAATCAACAGCACTCTTTCGTCCGCACGTACAATAAAAGTAAGTGTACCTCAAGGGTCGTCACTGTCACCCACATTGTTTAATATATATACGGCAGACATCCCCACCTTAAGCCCCGTGTCAATAGAGCTTTACGCAGACGACACGTACTTGTTCTACTCTGACCGGGATGCCATAAATGTAAGCAACACCAGAAATCTTCCAGAAATGGAAGATTAAAATAAACGATCACAAAACCAAGGCTAAATTCATAACACGAAAGAGAAGGCAGCATCCTCCAGAAGTGAACATCGGTGGCACGGAGATACAGTAGGAGGAAAGCATAAAATATCTGGGGGTCACTTTTGACAAACGGCATAATTGGTATAAATATATGAAATGCAAACGGAATAGTTGCTCTAAACTTTTACGTCTCCTAAAGCCGCTGTTTAATAATAATCGATTCAACCTCAAAAATAGAAAGGTATTATATACTCAAATAATTAGGTCAGCATTACTGTACGGATAAAAACAACAACTAATATTTAGTTGTAAAAATCGATCGAAATATTTAGCAGCGAAATTCACTTTAGGGAATTCCGAGCATCTATGAGTGGCGGATACAGAAATGCCTTCCACAAAACAAGAAGAAGCAAAAATCCGTTAACGAAAATAAGTATTTATCCATAAAATTGTTACGGATGGGAAGGAGTATCTAACTTCGAGCAAGTAGCTAGATTTAGAAAAAGCACATACTCCTAAAGTAAAAAAATCTGATATCTTACGTTTTTAGTAGTGATTATGTAAAGGGGTAATTAAAAAATCGGCTCCCATCGAGGTTCGAGTCCCATCTGGGGTAAAGTATTTTTTCGTGGAGAGAAAATAAATCACACGCGCCTACTTCAAGAAGTACGATGCTTGGGCGACCATATTCCAAGATCGACCAAACATTTTTTCACATATGTTATTTTTTTAATATTAATAAGATAATTTTTTATTTCTAAGTTACACATACCTTTCAATAAAGAATCCAATCCATTATTATGATCTGAAATATTATCGTATGAATTATTAGCTTTTATCGGCGCATTAGACATACTGCTTTTACTTTGAATAAATGTTTCTCTATTGCCATGTGCAAAATCGGAACTGTTTTCATCTTCATCTGTTATTGTTTTAGTTGGTTTCTCAACTACTTTTAAACTATTTCTGACACTGCTTATAGAAGGTTTTTCATATAAATCCTTAGTCTCATTGATATAATTATTATAACATGTTTCTGTTTCATTTGTTCTTTCATTATGAAAGATAGAATTACGTGTATAAGTATTCGAGTTACTTGGAACAGAATTATCTCTTATTCCATTATTTAAGCTTGGATATTTTGTTAAATTTGAAGATGTTTCACTATTATCTTTTGGATTTGATTTTATTGAACTAATTTTGTTAGATATATTACCGCCAGAACCAATATTCTTATTTTGAGGTTCTTTATCTTTCTTAATATCATGTAACTTTTTCCCTGATTCAAAATTTTCGCCATTACTTTTAGGTTCAACTGTAATATATTAAATTAAATAAATTAATAAATAAATATTTAATTATCTTTGAAAATTTTCTTTTTTAAATATACTTACTTTTATTTGAAAGTAGGGAAGCTGTGTGTGATTTTTCACTTTTGAGATTATTGGATGATGAAGTGGTTTCCGCAACGTCACCTTCTGACGTAATATCAATAACTTCATCTTTATCTAATTTTTTTACTTCATTTGCCTTATTTGATGTGCGTATAGCAATTATTTTACCACTTTCTAGTTGCATATATATACCTTTAACCGATTTAAGAACCATAACACGCTGCCCAGCCTTAAGTATGATATTTGCTTTATCCGATGAGTTTGTTGGGATAACAACATCTTTAATATGCAACGTTTAGAAGAAATTTAATTATAAATTCACAATTTTTTTAGTATAATATACGTACCTAATGGAAGAGTCATTTCCTGAGCAGTCATGCCTTGTCTTTGCCACACCTCAGCCGGTATCCAACGAGTAGTTCTAATACCTGGTGCTTTTCGTACAGGAGTGCTTTTAGCTGCTTGCATTGGACGTATCTGAAACAAACAACCATTTATTAGTAGTTCATTAAGATTTATGCTGTATAATACCGATGCTACTGGCCTAGAGATAATTGCACCATTATGAGTACCAATATGATATTTTATATTACTACCAAAGTTAATATTTTGTTTGGTGGATGCTTTTTTCTCCATCTCATACCCACGATGAGCTTGCCTTTTTTCTGCATTCGATAATTTTTTTTCCTTACGGTCTATAAGCAAGCTGTCATGATAAAATGGCACTTTTGAAAGATGGTGTGAGAAGTTATCAACTACTTCTTGCATAATATCATCTAACAGAGGTTCAACCTCTTCTTTTGTAATACTATCAGTTTTTTCCTTTTCCTTATCTTCATCCTCATAATCATAACATAAATTAGTAACATCTTTAGTAGAAAGATGTGCATCTGGATTACACTCATCAACAACTCTATCCGACATGCCTTGTTTTTTAATTTGTCTGTCGTAAATTTTTTTCTCCAAACATTTATCCATAACTATACGATAAACAAAACAGGATTTTTGTTGTCCGTACCTAATAAATAATTTTTCACAACAATTATAATGTAATAAAAAATTATACAATTATTCTATTATTAAATATGATCCAAAACTTACCGATATATCCTATAAACAGCTTGTGTATCATGACATGGATTCCAACTAGCATCAAACACAATCACTCGATTAGCACCAACCAGATTAATACCTAATGATCCAGCTTTAGTCGATATAAGAAAAAGTTTAACATTCAAATTGGTATTGAATTCATTAACAAGTTTTTCACGTTCTTGGGATGAAGTTGAACCATCAAGTCCTGAATATTAAAATATATGTACTGTATTAAACTGTTCATTCAAAAAGCAACAAATTAAGATGTAAAAGCCAATTAAATAAGTTAGTAAGTAATACTATCTATATTATATTATGTTATTATTCATGTATATAACTCAATCTGGCGAAGAATGTTCATTACTAATAGAAGCTAATACCAGATCAGCACAAAAATATATAATATAGGTATGTTTCGATTGACACAACTTAAACTTCAAATGTTCTTTATTCGTCTCTCTGCAATGCATATTATTAAATGCACTATATTTAAAATATTTAAAAAATTTTTCAAACGTATGGGGAAAGTACTATGCTTTTTATACAAATCCATTTTATGTAAAAATACTTAATATAAGAAATTCGAATATTCTTGATTTATTTTAGTTACAAACAATTCTTACATAAAGTCATGCTATGATTATAAAATCAAACTCAAGCAATAGTTTTAAAATACTACTTACTACTTACTAATGGCTAATATTGCGCATATATTTACAACGAAAAATATATATATATATACTTACGAAAATATGAAGTATTTCGAGACCAACAAGTATCACTACCAGGAATCAGATTCTTACATAGGAAAGATTCTAAAAGGTTGAGAGTTAGCAAACTTTGGCTAAAAAGTAGAACGCGATCACCCACTGCTATACTTTTTTCTAATATAAAAAAAACTATTTCCATTTTTGGTGAGTTTTTTATTAAACCTGGATCATATTTTTTCATTAATTCTGTGGCCCATTCATATGGTATTGGTTCCTCGTGTCTAACTTTTTGCATTTCTTTTTCAGGTAGTACATCAGATATAATTTTTTTTAAATCAGATTGAGCGTTCTCGTCTTCAATTTTAGGCAATTTATTTTGAGTTATTTTTTCTGTTTCCATTACTTCATTTTTCTGTGTCTCTAATGGATTGAAAACTGGGGTTTTCAATTTATGTTCGAATTTCATCATATTTGTTTTCATTGTTTTTATTTCGTTTGTATCTAAATCACAAATTTCGGATGAACTTGTTATGTTGTCAGTATCCTTGAATTCACTACGCTGGTCTGAATCAGTTTGATTCATAGATGAATAAACATTACTAGGAGTTGGTTGATAAATAAAACAAGGTACATTTGTGTCTTGCCAATAATTGTTGTCAGTGCAATTCGTTGAATAGGATAAATTATTATACATATTATAAAAACTGAAAAAAAAAAAACGGATTTATGATATTTAATTCAATTGTAATTATGTATATAAAAATCTAATCTAATCTGTTATATAAATGCTATCTGAAATTTTTTCTTAACTGAAGGATAATAATATACAGCAAAACGAGTTACTGAATTAGTAAATTTTGGTGCAATTGTTACCTTGATCTACTAAACTATTTTCAATACCCTCAAACTTTTCTCCACTTTATTCTTTGCTTGTCACGCACATACCCTACACTGTTTTGTAATCCAATAATATATTTACTTTTTAGGTCGCATGGGTTAAAGTAACAACAACAATCGGCTTTTTATATAAAATGAAAATTTAACGATATACATATTATTGAAACTACAGTATTAACGTTAAAACAGGGCTTTCTCTATAAACATAACAAAGTTCGAAAAACCTGCAAACAAAAGATCGGAACTTACTAAAATAAAGACTGGCACGAGTATTTTTGTGAGTATAAAATTAAAAGACAAATAATATTATAATGTTTGAAATATATAATATAAGGTAACTATTATTTTTTGAATTTTAATCTAAAAGACGGATAAAAGGACTTATTAGTTGACGTTTATAATTAAATTAATAAATGTTACGGTACTTGATTGTACCTTTAACTTGAATAATCCCCACAATAAAAAGCGTAGACAAAAACAATAACGAAAAAATCGGATGTCATCAGTACAGGTAGTTAGTTATTATAAAGACTCTCTTAACTGTAGTTGAGATCTTTCCAAAAAGTATCTAACTTTAACATTTCTATGCATTGTTTTTTAATATAAGTATTTGTTTCACTTATATTTTAGTGACATGGTGCATTGTCTTAATGAAACTAGTTTTACTTTGCCATATAGGAATGTTTTACAGTGAATTTTTTCTCCAAACATACTAATTATCCCATCTATACTATACCCTACTGTTTCTTTTTATATTGTGTGTATCTTAAAATTGAAACCTACAACCCTATCGACCACATTTAAAAACAGTAAACCATCGACATAGGGTTCTTCCGGACGCCTCAGAGTTGCCATGAAACATGTACATCCATAGAAAAACAGTGTTTAATGAACAATTGCAATTATTTAAATTCTTAAGTATAAAATTGTAACTTAAGTCACAATTTAAATCACAATAAAGTATTAAAATCAGTGATCAATTTGATTTTATAATAGCATAACGATTTTTTTAAACTAGCCAGTGTGGAAGTGGAGAAACCTCATCACTTTAATGGGTGGGAACCAAAGATTAGATCAATTGCGCTCAAATTAGTGAGAGCATTTGGACATGAGATCAGATGGCCGATATCATGGGAAGTAGACCTGAAGTTGAGATACACATTGGGAGTTGACGTATAAATGCGTAAAAACTAGTTGAACACTAACTATATCCTGGCTACAGCTATTCTTGGTCTAGGCGGATGATGTCCTCTTCCTTGAAAATATCAGACGGAGGCCTTGACAACTTTGTTGCTGTGCAAGTGTGGCAACTTACAACATAAAAGAAAAACAAATTCACAAAATATAATACAAAAAAATTTTTTAAATCCACTCAAAATACAATCATAACATGTTTTTAACAGGCAAATTCTTGGGTTGACCATACTTATATCGCCATTAGTCTTCGTCATGAGTGGTTTTTAGGAAAATATATTGTTTTTAATGTTTTTAATAACATAAAATTCTTAATAAAATATTTTTAAAAAATCGTTATAAGTTTGCTATAAAATCTTCAATATCCAGCATTAAAATATTTTATATATAAATGATAAAAAAATGTACCTTTTATTGAAACTGTTTTCATTTGATGTTTCATTGCAATTGCCTGCAATTGGTTTATTTTGTGTGTTGAATGACCTCTCATTTAAGTTTCTTTGCTGTTCAGAAGTTTCAATAGCTTCAATAGCTTGCGATTTTGTGTCTTCTACAATTTTATCTTTGATATCATGATTGTTTGTTGGTGGTGTATTAGTAGCTTCTAGTTTGTTTGCATTTGGATTTGGTGGAGTAGCTTCACTTATCCCCTCAGCATCATCTATTTCTAAATCTAAATCTGTCTCTCTTTTTTTTAGGAAATTATACAAAACGTCTGGATGATTCCATATTTTACAGCACACAGCGAATGCTTTTAATGGATTTGGTATGGTTTTTTTGCGAACTACATCATTCATAAATGTATTATAGAGTTCTCGCTGAAAGGAAGTCATTTTAGTGAGAATTACGTATTCCAATTTTTGCGGTAGAGTTTGTTGCAATACGAGATGCGAACGACGTTGTACAAAACCAAGAAGTAGAGAATGCAAAACATGCGCTCTATATCTCATTAGTTTAATATCTTGTGGTGTTGAATCAATGCATTGTCCATTTTGTATTGGCCTTTCAAACATATTACAAAATTCAGTACGTGAACCTAAATAATTTGGACGTACAAAGTCGACCATGCACCAATATTCAAGCAAATTATTTTGTAGGGGATATCCGGTTAATACAATACGTCGTCGTGTGCGTATTTGTTTTAAAGCCACCGAAATTCCCGCGTGCGAATTTTTTATTCGATGACCTTCGTCACATATAACTAAGTCAGGACCTGGTTTTACTAAAGCTTGATGTACACTTTCCATTAAGCGCATATTTGCTTCAGAACGTAAATTTTCAGCTTTTATATTTTTCCCACGTCGTTTGCGAGTAGGTAATAATTTTAGAGCTAGTAAACGGAAAAGTTCATAGCCTATTAATAAAACGCCGCCTTCTTCTGCCCATTTCATAATCACTTTGGCGCGGGCAGTTAAAGTTTTTTGTGAATCGTTAAGTACAAAAACGTCAAATCGACGAGTTCGAATAACGTCTTCGTCATCGGAGGTTTTTGGAGTCCAAGTATTAAATTCTGATAACCAATTTTGAATTGTGTTGATTGGCATTACACAAAGTACACTTTTAGATGACGTATGTCGCAGGAATATATCACAAAAACATATAACTTGCAATGTTTTTCCTAGACCCATAGAATGAGCAAGTATACAACCAAAACCACTAGAGTTTTTAAAACGCTTTGTTGATTCAATAATATTATCAAATAAAAATCTGACTCCACCAATTTGATGAGGTTTAATTTTCTTAGCGATTTGAGGAGCAACAAAAATATCTTCTTCACCTTCCGGGTGTCCAATGTTAACGACAACTCTTCCATGCTCATCCGGCATATTATATGTATCTTTAACATGTAAGCCACTATTAGCAGGGTCATCCTCAACTTCATCTTCGACTATTTCTTCATCGTCCGAAAGTACAATACAATCATCTTCATCTGAGGAACTATCTATAGTAACAACTTCTTGTTTTATCTGATTGTTAGATTCTTTAGTCATTGAGTCAAAAAATGTTTTCGGTTTTATTTCGTTCTTTATACTAGTATACATATTATTAAAAGGCTTCTTTATTAATGCTGACTGCTTCATAGACAATTTATTTTCACAAGCAATGTGTCTTAGGTTTGTTATATCTCTGTTAAAACAACGATCGGTTTTAGTAAAAGCTTTCGTTGAGTTATTTCCAGATTGTAATAATGATAAAACACGATTTTGAGTACGCATATTAAGACGATTTGCAGCAGCTTGGCGTTGATACTCACGAATAACCTTTTGCTGCTCCGCAACTCTAGCAAGTCGTTCCGATTCCTCCCTCTGTGCGACCAAAGTATTGGAATCCAGCTGTTTTTCATCCATGACATCTCGTATATTTTTCCGTAAATACACAATTTTTTTATCATCAAGAGAACCAGTTGTAGGCATTTTGGAATCCGAAACTTCTTCAACATCAGCATCAGCATCAGCATCATGTTTTCTTTTATGTCCGCTTTTATTTAATAGTTCAGGCAACAGAATGGTTTCATCTGATTCTTCTTGAATTTCTGAACTTTCTACGGTAGTATTTATACTAGTAGATTTCAAACTTTGGTCATCCTCTACAACAATTGCGTTATTTGATATATCGATTTCTTCATTTAACTTTTCTTTAATGTCCGAATACATTTTACTATTTAAATTTTCTATTCGTTCGCCTTTCGTTAAATCCTCACTTTGATGAGTAACTGCAGGAAGTTCTGGCTCCATATTCATATCAATATTCATTATCAAATACAAAATACGAGTATATTTCAAGCAAACATTTTTGAGTGGCCCTAAAATATATATTATAAATTAACTACATTTTATATGTAAAAAATAAATAGTAAAAATTATTTTATTGTAAAGTTTTTAATATATTAGAATTTGTGTACTTTATTAATTTAATAATAAGGTAAATTGGACAATCCACAATAATTACCTTTAATCTATATGAAGCTTGTGTTTACGTTGTACATTATTTTTTAATGAGCTCCAATGCAATAGTGTCAACCTCAATGTTTCGTTGGTGTTCCCTGTTTTCACTGACAACTTTCAGTCGACTAAAATCGTTGGAATATAACTTCCCATCGGTAAGCAAAGAAAGAATACTTTGCTAACATACATGATTTAATGCCGGAGTATTAAATTCCAAGATTATAGTAAATTGTTATGTAAACTTGCAGCAACTTTAAGTTTGTATTAAAATCTGCGTTATTATCTATAACTTTCGGAATAAAATCAAGAATTCACATTATACAGATATAAAACATTATAGAGATGGCATGATAAAAATTGTATAGAAAAATAGAAACAAATTACTATTATATAGTACAAAAACAAGACATATCTACACTTCAAATTATTCTTAAAATAATTTCTTTTTATTAAAATTCTGTAAGTATTTGTTATGAAAAGTTCCGAAGTAAGCCGCAGCACTAGAACACATTAATGACAAAATTTTTTCATATTTTAATAATGTTTGAAAATATAATTCAAACTTAAGGTTTTTAAATGAAGTTATTTATATTAAAGGCGAGGTCAAGTCATTTTTTCATTATTAATATTTATTATGAGTTAGAAATCACTTTAAAAAATCGCATAGACAAACATATATGTACAAACATTTTTTCTTAAAATTTTCTTACTTTTTCACTTGCGGGACGTACGCACGTATTTAACACATATTTCCGAAAACGAATGCATCACTATTAGTTTCATGCATTTTGACTTCACAAGTTCTTTCAAAATTTAAATAATTATACTTTACATATATTCAATTCACAGCACAGTACATGAATTTTCAATATTACAACCTATGAAAATTGGAACAATTTGTGATTATCCTGGAACATTTAAAGAGTAGCCACACTGTACGATTAATTGCTGCGAGTTGACAAGCTATATACATATGTGTTAAAATAAAAAATGTATATTCTAGAAACTTAAATGTCAAAAACAATAATTAATAATTCATAAAATTTTGTGACTACAATCATTCTACATATAATTCAACATTAATTATGTAGCATAATTAATTAATCTTAATATAAAATACTTATTTAATACAACATATATATGTTTTCGAGACTATATCAAGAACCTAAAATAATAAAAAATTTCCTTAAAGTGGTATAAAATATAGAATTTCGTTTTGTATTGAATTAAATAATAACAAAAACAATTGTTTTATTATTACAACTGGGTTTGAAATTTAATTTAAAAGGTCTGTTCCACGAGCTACTCGTAGTAACATTTTGCCAAAATCTAGCCAGTGTGCACGCTCCTTTA